AGGCTGGAGTGCAGTGGCCAATCTTGGCTCACTGCAACCTCTGCCTTCTGGGTTCAAGCATTTCTCCTGCCTCGGCCTCCCGAGTAGTTGGGACTACAGGCGTGCACCACCATGCCCAGCTAATTTTTGTATTTTTAGTGGAGATGGGGTTTCACCATGTTGGCCAGGATGGTCTCGATCTCTTGACCTCGTGATCCACCCTCCTCGGCCTCCCAAAGTGCTGGGATTACAGGTGTGAGCCACCACCACACCTGGCCAACAGTTCTTTTTTTTTTTTTGAGATGGAGTTTCGCTGTTGTTACCCAGACTGGAGTGCAATGGCACGATCTCGGCTCACCGCAACCTCCGCCTTCTGAGTTCAAGCAATTCTCCTGCCTCAGCCTCCCAAGTAGCTGAGACTACAGGTGCGCACCACCATGCCGAGCTAATTTTTGTATTTTTAGTAGAGACGGGGTTTCAACATGTTAACCAGGATGGTCTCGATCTCTTGACCTCATGATCCACCTGCCTCGGCCTCCCAAAGTGCTGGGATTATAGGCGTGAGCCACCGTGCCCGGCCAACAGTTCTTTTTTTAAATGAATTTGGGGCTGGATGCTTTTTATAACTTATTTAGTGATATGTTTCTATCATCCATACCCAATGAACTTGATATAGATCTTTTAAAACTATTCATACAGAAAACCACCCTTTGATAAATACATGCATTATCTTTTAATCTTACTGTTTCTGCCTGCCTTTCTTATGCCTGTGATCACCAATATATGTCCCTAACCTGACATAGATGGAAGGAAAGGTGGTGAAGTTTTGAGTCCTCGTGTTTGACACATTTTACAGATGTTAGTGCTGAGGGGACTTGCACATTGTCTGGTTTGTGTGTCTTGTTACGTATGAGGAGAACCCTGGCCCAGGGAGCTTTTTATCTAAGCTTTTTGTCACTGTTCCTTCCAACTTTGAAATTCTTTCATTTTGTTTTCTTCATTTTGTTCATTAGTAGTTCTTATTTCTCTGCTTTACATAGTGTGTTCAATTCTTTCTCCAGGTAATAAAAGAATGAGTAAATTTGAAATATGCTGGAATATCTTTTTTTTCCTTTTTTGAGACGGAGTCTCACTCTTTCACCCAAGGTGGAGTGCAGTGGCACAATCTCGGCTCAGTGCAACCTCTGCTTTCTGAGTTCAAGTGATTCTTCTCCTTCAGCCTCCAGAGTAGCTGGGACTACAGGCACATGCCACCACGCCTGGCTAATTTAGATATATATTTAAATATACACATGCATATATGGCTAATTTATATATATTTAAATATATATACACAACAATGTATAATACATATAAATATATGTGTGTATATATTTATATATATTTAAATATATACACTTATAATAATATATATTATATGGTGAAACCCCATCTCTCCTAAAAATACAAAAATTAGTCAGATGCACTGGCTCATGCCTGTAATCCCAACAGTTTGGGAGACCAAGGCTGGTGGATCACATAATAATATAATATATATAATATATAATAATATAATATATCTATAATATATAAATAATATAATATATTTTATAAGTATATATTATTACAAATATATATATATATATATATATATTTTTTTTTTTTTAACACGGAGTCTTGCTCTGTCTCACAGGCTGGAGTGCATTTGCATGATCTCGGCTCATTGCTACCTCCACCTTCCGGGTCAAGCAATTCTCCTGCCTCAGCCTCTCGAGTAGCTGGGATTACAGGCGCCCGCCACCATGCCTGGCTAATTTTTGTCTTTTTAGTAGAGATGGGGTTTCACCAATTTGACCAGGCTGGTCTCGAACTCCTGACCTTGTGATCCACCGGCCTTGGCCTCCCAAACTGTTGGGATTACAGGCGGGAGCCAGTGCATCCGACTAATTTTTGTATTTTTAGTAGAGATGGGGTTTCACCATATTGGCCGGCCAGGCTGATCTCAAACTCCTGACCTCGTGATATTCCTGCCTCAGCCTCCTAAAGTGCTAGGATTTACAGGTGTGAGCCAGTGGGCCTGGCCAGAATATCTTTTTAGTGTTCCAGTAGTCAGGAGAAAAATGACCTGGGTTTAAACCCAAACTGCTGTTCCCAGCTATGTGGTCATAGGCAGTTTGCTTTACCACCTTTGCCTCAGTTAGCTTATGTATTAAAGGAGAACGATAAAGAGTCATTCTTGTTGCCAGTCTAGACTTAGGTCGATGTGAGTAGCTATTTATTTACTACCTGGTAAATGAGAACACTTGGCCCTCCGTATCTGTAGGTTCCATGTTCATAAATTCAGCTAACCATGGTTTGACAATATTTGGGACAAAAATGGATGGTTATATCTATACTGAATATGAACAGACTTTTCCCTGTCGTTATTCGCTAAACAATATAGTATAACAACTATTACCATAGCATTTACATTGTGTTAGGTATTGTAAGTCGTCTAGAGATGGTTTAAAGCATACAGGAGGATGTGTGTAGGCTATGTGCAAATACACCATTTTGTATCAGGAACTTGAACATCTGTGGATTTTAGTATCTGGGGGTTCTTAGAATCCATCCCCCACAGATGGTGAGGGTTAACTGTACTTTTAACCTAACATTTTTCCCTAAAGTAATTTTAAATCATGCTCACTTAAGGAGACAATATTATTTTTGAGTAATTAAAAATTAATTTTAGGCCAGGTAGTCCCAACACTTTGGGAGGCTGAGGCAGGCAGATTGCTTAAGCTGTGTTCAAGACCAGCCTGGGTAACATGGTAAAACCCTATCTCTGCAAGAAATACAAAAAAATCAGCTGGGTGTGGTGGTGTGCAGCATACTCCCAGCTACTTGGGAGGGTGAGCTGGAAGGATTGCTTGAGCCCAAGAGGTCAAGGCTGAGGCAAAACGTGATTGCACCACTGCACCTGGGTAACAGAGCGCGACCCTGTCTCAAAAAAGAAATTAATTTTAGATTTTGGAGGATTCATGACTTCCTGGGCATAGTTCCCCTCTGTCTTGACTGGCTGCACTGCTGCTGAGCCAAGTAGTTGCTGGGCTGACAGGTAGGTGGAACCTGGGGCGTGGACAGAGAGCGTACCCTTTTCTCCTGGGGAACTCAGGGAGTGGGCAGGAGACCCTGAGGCAGCAGGTCCAGTGGAGGCCCAGGGAGGCTGGGAGAGTGAAGGAGTTGTGGGGCACCCTGAATCTCCTGTGTCACTGCATGGCAGCCTCCAGAGAGCTGTGCCTTCACTCCTAGTTCAACACAGACAGAAATAACCACACAGAGGGTGGCCCAGGAGTTTCCAGAGTGATGGTGGTGGGTGAGTAATAAGAGTCTTTGAAGAAAACTCAACTGTAGCCCCAAAAGGACAGTCTAGAGCTAAAGTGTCACAGATGCACTGCAAAGATGGTCCCTGTTGATAGTCAAATTTCAGAAAGGTCAAGTTGGAGGGACGTGAATGAATACTCACGATGATGGAGATAGATTTGGCGGAAAGGGCCCGAGAGACCTTTAATATCAAGGAGAAGCGGTGATTCAACAATGATAGGAAAAAATTCCCCAGAGCTAAAGAAATATATACAGATTCTCTTTTCTTTCACTGAATTCTGGATTGATGGAAAAAAAAAAATCAAAGCTAAGTAATTATGGATAAAATCCCTAAATTTCAGGAATAAAGAGAACATGTTAAAATTTTTCTAGATTCATGCAGGCCAGTACAGTGGCTGCAGAACACATTAAACCTGGTGAGTCTACGCTGTATGGCCCTCACGTAAAGTGCCTGCAGGTTCTGAAGACAGTTTGGAAAAGAGAATGTGAACTGCTGATTACCAGTTGAAGCATTTTGGATATATTGGGTTAAAGAAAATATATTAAGATAAGTTTTGCTTAAAAAAATAAAAAGAAACAAGATCTTGATCCATTGTGCTCTTTGATCTCTTTCAATGTGATTACTGGAAAATTTAAAATGACACCTGTGGCTGGCATTTACATTACAGGGGGCCATGGTAGACAGCAGCATATCCAAAGGGTGAAGACCAGGTAGACACAAGTCTCACTTGCAATGCTGGACACAGGAAAACAGTAGGATTCTAAGAGTTTTAAATCTCACTGAGATATCATTTGGAGTGAAAGGTAGAAACTCGTGTCTAGGAGGAATTCAGAGATGAGTTTATGTGTATTCCCTGTCTGAGGAGACCACTTAGGACTGCACTGTAACCGAGCAAGCATGCATTAGAACCACATAGGAGTTACGGGACAATAAAAAAGGGAAGTCATGGTGAGCCATGCACTTGCAAATATGTGTATTTATAAGAATGCTACCCGCCTAATAGTGATTCTTAACATAGGCACACTGCCTGGGAAATGAGGACAGTGTCTCGGAAGGAAAGTACTCAGTGATCCCAGCCAAAGCTGTGACCTAGGTGGGGCTGGGGAGGAGATGAGGAGGAAGAGTCTTGCCTTGAGGAACAGGGATGCAGGGCAGTAGAGTGGGAAAGTGAGGTTTTTCTAAAGCCCTCAGGTTATTAGAGGTAATAAGTAAATGCCATGGTAGTAGAGTATCTTGGTAGGTCACAAAGTTTTTGATTATCTTGTTTTCTTGTGTAATAGAGAAATAGGCTCAGAACCGTGGATGCTGGAAAGGAAGAGCACGTGCCCTGTTTCTCACTGGCTGTGGATCTGACCAGTGGGTTAGATCTTCATATATAAGAGCTCACCAGCATAGCACACTGTTCAGCGAACGTGTTGCATTGCCTGGCAGTGCTTGGTGTCCGCCCTCAACCCAGGCCTGTGGTTCAGTGCCGTGTGTTGTGACTCCTGTGGGGATTCTCACTCCCATTTTATGTAAGAGAAACAATTAGTGAAACATTTGCAGATTATTTCAACTTTGTTTTTAAATGCATCTGGTTGCATTAAAACCATTTTTAGATTATATTTTTGAAAATGTACGTTTGGATAATTTGGTCACTTTTTTTCTGTAGCTAAATATTTCTTTATTTGTGTTTCAGATTTCTCTATGAATCATCATCAAGAACTCTGGGAGAACTTTTGAATTCATAACCAAGCCAACATCTCCAGACGTGTAAGAGTAGGGACAAGGGACTCTAAAGGAAATGCCTGTGTATGTTCCTATTGTTTTTATTGTTAATAACCCATATGATAGGGAAAGGGTAGGGTTTTTTGTGGGGGTGTGGGAGGGTGGAGATTGTGCAGTAGAGAACTCAAAACTTCTTCAGTTTTTGCCCAGTGCCTGCGTAAATAATATATTTAATATAAAGGATGCCGGGTATGAATGGTGTAGGAATCCATGATTCGAAGAAAAAAAATACACTTTTCTAGCAAACCTGATTGTTTTTAAAATGACTTTTATATATGTAATATTGCTTGGAAACTATGAGTAATAAAGCAATGACAACATCCATTTGTGTACTTTATTTGAAAGCATCAGGGGCTGGGCACAGTGGCTCACACCTGTAATCCCAGCACTGGGAGGCTGAGGCGGGCAGATCACTTGAGGTCAGGAGTCCGAGACCAGCCTAGACAACATGGTGAAACCCTGTCTCTACTAAAAATACAGAATTAGCTAGGTGTGGTGGTGCGTGCCTGTAATCCCAGCTACTCAGGAAGCCGAGGTTGCAGTGAGCTGAGATTGTGTTACTGCACTCCAGCCTGGGCGACAGAGCAAGACTCTGTCTCCAAAATAAAAAAAAAAGTATTAAAACCTACCTTTATGCCCAGGAGTGAGGTCCTTTGGCACAGGAAGTGATCCCAGCATGCGTCCCCAGTGGAGAGCACAGGGCAGGGCTTACGGCAGTCTCTTGTGTCCAATGTTCATGTTGCATCTTTGGGGTATTGAGATGGGTCCTGTGGCTGTGAACGAGAGCAGCACAGACACCAAGTAGCTCAGCTGAAAGGCAAACTCCTTTTACTCTTGTCTTTTCTTTCTGAGAGCTGTCCTTGTAGCAGTGGTATTGACAATCTCCGTGTCACCCTGACCTCTCACCCACCTTGTTGTGGATGCCAGTTGTTTCTTGGCCCCATGCTCCTGGCCCTCTTAGTCAAAGATTCTATGTTGTGGTTGATCCTATGGGCCCTCCTGGACCACCTCTTAGTAGACTGGAAATTAGGGCAGCTTAAATTTCATGCTTGTTCTTTTGCTCAGCTCCTGAGCAAAAAAGTAAAGAAATGCCAGTGTTTCTGTGCCTTTATTTCTCTAAGAAAGTGCAAGAAGTAGACTACTTACTATAGCTATGAGCATTCAGGGTAAGGCTTTGCCAAGGGATCTGAGAACTGGAAGGTGTGAGCAGAATAATATTACAGCTTAATTCAGATAATTTTGAAAATATGATTTTCTAGACATCTTGGCTGACTACAGCATATGCTGTATTCGTGAATGACATTGATAACAGAAATATAGTTCTATCAGTGTTGATAAAGTGATTGATTTGGAAGGGTTTGTGCTAATTTAAGACTGGTGATTAATTGAGTATGTGAGGGAGAGATTGCTGGTCTCTCCTCTGTTACTTATTCTTCTCTTTTTCTGCAGAAATTCCATCTCAGATTTTGTCACTGGGTACATGCTCATCCTGAATAAAGACCACATTCACCAGCCTAGCTTGCACCTACATGTAGGGCATGTATCCAGGTGCTTCCAGTAAGATAATAGTGAAGTTGTCTTGGGCGCCTTGTAAGTTATCTGTGTATCTTTACCTTTCTTACATTCTGCATGGAGTGGGGTTGTGATGGCTGCAGCTCTCACTGACATATTGGACTGTGAGGATCTATGTCTACAGTTTTGAGCTACACTCATGAGCCTACATTGTGTAAGCTCCCAGTGTCTTTGGGAGAAATAGAGAGCCAGTCTTGACAGTTCAAAACCATACCTAGAAGCTAGTCTGAGGATGAGTCTGTGATTGCCACCAGGCACTTGACATTTTAATTAGCACTTCTGCTCTAAGAATCCACCTGCAGTGTTCCAATACCATTGTCACTTCTCCCATAAAGCAGGTAGGGAGAAGTTGGGAGCTGCCCCGCCCCTGCTGTGGCACTCACTCCTCAGCCAAAGACTGGCAGAACCCTGGCTGCCTGGCCAGAAAGGCAAATACCACTTTAGACATTTAAGTATTTCCTGCATCTTTACCCCTTGCTAAGACTCAGGTGGAGAGATCCCAGAACAAAAAAATAAATAGATGCCGGGTGGTCAAAGATAGCAATAATTGTAATTTAAATTGTTCTGATTGTCTAGATAGTGGTTTTCAGGCTTAAATATGCATCAGAAACATCTGAAGATTGTTAGAACAGCTGCTGCGACCCGGTCCCACACTGTCACAGTCTTGAGATTCATCCACACTGTAGTGGCTTATCCATTCACCTAGTGAGGGTCATTTGGCTGTTCATTCATTCACCTGTGATGGCTGTTTGGCTATTTACCCGTTCACCTATTGGTTCCCCTTTGGCTATTTATCCATTCACCTATGGATGGCTGCTATTTATTGGCTATTGCAGATAAAGTTGCTTGGAGCCTTCATGTATATAAGTCTGTGTGGGCTTGTTTCACTGGGTCAGTTTCTTGGAGTGGAAGTTCTGGTTGATACATTTTTTTGTTTTTCTGTTTTTTTTATTGGCCCGTCTTCTGCCTGAAGTTGATATGTTAAGTGTACAGTTAACTTTTTAACAAATCTCACAAACTATTTACCATAGTTGTATCATTTCATATTCCCATCAGTTTCTCCACATCCTCCCCGTGAGGGTTATTTTCAGTGTTTTTATCTTCATTCCGTTGGTTGTGTAGTGGTAACTCATGGTGTCTTTAACTTGCATTGCCTGAGGACTGATGCTGCACACTTCGCTTGCGTGTCTGTGTTGGTGAAATCCCAGCTCAAATCTCTCGTCTGTTTTTGTTGTATTATTGTATTGTTTGTCTTATTGCGTTGTAAGCCTTCTTTAGATGTTCTGGATACCAGTGCTTTATTAGAGTTAGGTATTACAGTATATAGTTCCTATTTTTATTTTATTTTTGAGACCGAGTTTCACTTTGTTACCCAGGCTGGAGTGTAGTGGCACAATCTTGGCTCATGCAACCTCTGCCTTTTGGGTTCATGCAATTCTCCTGTCTCAGCCACCAGAGTAGTTGGGATTACAGGCACACCACCACCATGCCTGGCTACTTTTTTTGTATTTTTAGTAGAGACAGGGTTTCACTATGTTGGCCAGGCTGGTCTCAAACTCCTGACTTCAAGTGATCCACCCACCTCAGCCTCCGAAAGTGCTGGGATTACAGGTGTGAGCCACTGCACCTGGCCCTATTTTAATTTTTTTGAATGGTGTCTTTCAAAGAGGAAATTTTAATTTTGAGGAAGTCCTGTTTATCAATTATACTCTTGTAGTTTGTGCTTTTTGTGTCCTATATAAAAAGAAATGTAAAAAACCATGTTTTATTTTTTGCATGAAGTAACATGTTTTATTTTGGCCTGCATAGTTAACTGATCATAATCTTACTTTGTTTCTACCTTGATGTCTCTGGCTGCTTTTATTATCTACTTATTGAAACTTAAAAGCTCTGCTCTTATGTTTAGGTCTATGATCCATTTTGAATTAATGTTTATGTATGGTATAAGGTAAGGATTGATTTATTTATACCTTATGGATACCTAGCAGTCCCTGCACCATTAGAGCATAATATTTTTATTTTATGTTATGAGGTAAGGATTTATTTATTTGTTTATGCTGTATGGATATCTAGCAGTCCCCGCATCATTAAAAGATAATATCTTTATCAAGGAACTCCATGACACATCTCTGGACCTGCCCTTCATCTAGGCCAGAGGGGCTCAGCTGGGCCATGAGTTCAGCTCCCTTTCCGGCAGTGGCACAGGTGTCTTGGCAGGCTAGGTTGCCACAAAATGCCTCAGGTAGAAGGCACAGGACAGCCCTCAAGCAAGGAATCATTCCAGCCCAGAGGTCAGTGGTGTGATGTTGAGAAGCTCTGCTGTATAAGTTTCTGTTTTAGCTCTTATGATTAGCTCTACAATCCATTTGAAGTTAATCTTGGTTGTGGAGTCTAAGTTCAGCCTGTCGTTTTTGTTTTTTCCCCATGTGATTATCCAGTTGTTCCTGCACCCTTTTGTTCTCCATGAAATCACCTTGCATCTACATCAAGATGCAGTTGGCTGTACATGTGTGGGCTCTTTCTGGAGTCTGTTCTGTGCACTGATCTATGGCCATCCTTAGGCCAATTCCGAGGGTCCTTTTTATTTGAGCTGTACCTGTGTCTTAAAATCGTGAGTTGCAAGTCCTCAGTTGGCTGTTTTTTGACGTGGTTTTGGCTACTCTAGCTCCTTTGCCTTTTCATATATGTTGTAGAAATGATGTCTATTTCTACAGAAGAAAACATGCAGTACAATTTTGATTGTGATTGCACTAAATCTACAGAACAAGTTAGGGTCTTGCAAAAAGAGTCTGGCCACTTATGGAAAGAAGGCAAAGTAGTAAGTTATGATGAGACAGAGTGATATTCCTTTATTATTTGTGCCAGCATGGGGAAGAGCAGAGAGCAGTTCTAGTCTTGAATTTGTGGAGGGAACACAGGGATTTTTATAGAAAGCGTTTAGAACACAGAAAAGGCAAGGGGGCTAGGAGATGCCAGGTGGTGTGACTTGCTTCAGTGGCCCTTGAATTATTGTCCCATTTGGTGAAGGGGCCAGTGCCATTGTGAATCCTATCAGGTTACAAATTAATCACAGTCAATCTTGTAGTCACTCTTCAGCTGGGAGTGACCTGGAAGTAATCTTTTGTTGGAGAGAGAATTCTGGAGGTGCCTAGTCCTTATTAGGATCCGAATCCTGAAGCTTCTGAGCAAATAAATGGCCAGATAAGAGAGCATGGTGTGTGCTTAACAAGCATCTGGGTAAATAAATGTGCATAAGGCATGGGAGCATAGAATGGGAAAAGTAGAGGGACTGGGTTCGATGACTCATGCCTATAATCCCAGCATGTTGGGAGGATGAAGGGAGTGCATTGCCTGAGGTCAGGAGTTTGAGACCAGCCTGGCCAACATGGTGAAACCCTGGCTCTACTAAAAATACAGAAAATTAGCCTGGCGTGGTGGCACATGTTTGTAATTCCAGCTACTTGGGAAACCGAGGCAGGAGAATCACTTGGACCCAGGGGGCGGAGGTTGCAGTGAGCTGAGATGGCACCACTCCAGCCTGGGCTAAAAGTGAGACTGTTACAAAAAATAAAAATAAACATGAAAGGGAGTGGAGGTTCACGGCACATTCCAAGGCTGTATTTCAAGATGAAAGGTAACACGTGGTTTGTCTCAAAGCTATATCTTGAGACTGGGAATGGGAAGAGAAAAGGGAAAAGGAAACAAAGGTTTAAAACATGGTTGAGGCTAGGCTGTAAGCTGCTTGGGTAC